TTTTTTTGTTTGTATGTTCACATTGATGTTAAATTACATTTTCTGATTTGTGACATTACTTTTTATGTAATGCTAAAACACTGCTGGTCACTTTCAGAAGTTATAGTGATTCTTTATTTTCCAAGAAAGAATGTGAAACAAATTGTTTATATATATATATATTATATATATTTTTAAATATTTTAAAATATCATTTAAATTGATTTTACACACTTTAAGCAATATCGTATTGCATATCGAATATCGCATTTTTTAACAAGGTATCGCATATCGCATTTTTTTTCAACATCGCACAGCCATATTTTGAACCCAACTTGTTTTTAAATGAGCTTTATAAAAACAAACTAAACTAATCTAAACATACAATACATTAACTAACATTAACTAATGGGACTTTATTGTAAAGTGTTACCATTTTCATGAGTCTGATATTTGAAATGAGTCAGAATGATTTGTTTATAAATGAGACAGATTTGGTTTTGCTCACTGATTCAATGATCCAGTTGCAATGGTTAACAGCTCACTAGACTAAAAATATCTATGAATAGTTCATTTTTATCAGGACTCAGAATATAGTGAACGATTCATATTGATCACTTTTTTATGATATTTTAGCAGTGTTTTTAAAGATTAAATGTTTCAGTCTATATTAATTGTACAAACATGGAAAAGATACTTTTTTTTTGTTTTTTTATTTCAGTCACACTTTATTTTAAGGTCCAATTCTCACAATTAACAAACCATTAACTATGACTTTTGCCTCAAACTCCTAATTTGCTGCTTATTAATAATTAGTAAGGTAGTTGTTAAATCAGTCATGCAGGTGTAAAATTAAGGGTGAGTAACTGATGACAATTTGCATTTTTGCATGAACTATTACTTTAATAAACAGACCAAAACTTTCATCATCTGGCAAAGAAAACACAGCTAACCTGCATAAATTATGAGACCGCAAGGACTGCTTGGATTTCACCAAGGTTGCTGTGTGTAAAACTCAAACCATTATGCGTTTTAAACTTTTGAGCTACAGTACAAAGTTTTGGGTAGAAGAGTGTTTCTTACCCTCACAGCTGCTGTGTCCCTCCTCATACCCAGCGCTGCAGCTGCATTTGCCGATGGGCACCAGCCACTCCCCTTCAGCACTGCAATGCATTCTGGGAGGACTGTCCGTGTCCACCTCAGAGTTATTCACGCATGACCCTCTCACCTCCACCAGAGTCGAGAAGGCAGCTTCAGCTACCGTATCTGGGAACACTGCTAAATTCTGCACTGTTGACAAACAGCGTTTGTAGTACACTCTCACGGAAACCAGTGCGACGCATGCGCCGACATCCTGGAAGGCCAGATGGAATCCTTTGCGATTGAGATGTCCTATTTCACGGACTTCGGTGTTAAGTTTCATCTTCCGCTCTCCCAAATCGCCCTGCGTGAAACTTTCATCCGCCGCAATGGTGTCGATTTTGCTGTAGCGGTCTTCGCGGGTGACGCGGCCCAGGTCCCAGTCAGACTCGGCGTAGAGGAGGTTGAAGGTCTCCTTACAGCTACCGGACACGCCTGGGATGCTGTTGCAGTCGCGCAGGGTGAACTGCAGTTCGATGAAGATGCGCTGGCCGCCCTGCCGCCATATCCAACCCGTTTGGAGCCAATTGTTCTGACTCGGCTCCATCACGTTGCATACTTGATATGTGCGAATGGGCAGGAGGTTGAAGGTCTCCTTACAGCTACCGGACACGCCTGGGATGCTGTTGCAGTCGCGCAGGGTGAACTGCAGTTCGATGAAGATGCGCTGGCCGCCCTGCCGCCATATCCAACCCGTCTGGAGCCAATTGTTCTGACTGGGCTCCATCACGTTGCATACTTGATATGTACGAATGGGCTTGTATTTCTCATCGACACCGCTGATTTCCTCCCACTGAAATGATAAGAGGGAGAAAAAAATGTTTCAAATAAAGAAATGTTTGAATAAGAATCACAGACCGTAGATCTAGACTATTGCAAAGCTTTTTTGCCATTAACCTATTAACAGAATAGAATAGAATAGAATAAAGATTTTTAATAAAATAAAATATCTTAACATTGGTGTAATGTACCAACTTTTTGCCTGTGCTTTAAAAATCATGGTCTTTTATCTATTAACATTGGTGAAAACTGGTGAAAATGAAATATGAAATGAAATAATATAAAATTAAATTAAAGGTGCTGTATGTAAGTTTGTGACTCTACTAAAGCATAAAAATACCATAATATGTTTGCAGATATTTAAGAAACATGCTAAGTTAACATATTTGTTTATCTGAAAAACAATGCTACAGTCAGTTATTCTCCTTTGAAAATGTGCGTTCCGGGCCGGAATGTCGGTCTCTGTTTTGGTTTGTGAAACCCGCCCACTGCCAGTACCAAACAAAGTAGTTTCGCTTTCACAACTAAAAACACAGCGGCCTAGTGTGAGGGGAAGCCCCGGCTTAGCGTGCGCTGAGGCCGGGATAGAGTGAGCTGAGGCCGGGCTAGCGTGAGCTAAGGCGGCTGGGTCGAGAACGGCGCACCCGGCGGATCCGACGAATGAATTGCAACTTTACAGATCTTCTTTATGCACCGAGAGCTTGTAACACTCCAAAGAGTAAGGACAAATTTAAATCGCATCAAATGACCCCTTTAATCTCAACTTTTTCGTTGTGCCTTAAGAAAGAAGAGAAGAAGGTCTCTAGATAACAATAATCATTGCAAAGATTTTTTGTCTATTTATCTATTTTATTATTGTGAAATGCCAAATGATTAAAAAAACAGAATCTAAATAAAAATAAACTAACATTTTACTTTCCATGGACTGTACCAACTTTTTGACTGGGCTTTAAAAATCATGGTCTCAGATCATAATATATATTGCAAAAGTTTTTGGCCTTTTATCTATTAACATTGGTGAGAAATGAAATTAAATGAAATGATATGAAATTAAATTAAATTACATGTTTTTTTTATATTTCATAACAAGATAAAATATAATATTTTTTTAAATGCTACCTGTGGTACATTAAATGCCTAGAAAGGGGATATTTTGGGGGATATCTATATACACAAAGATGTAAATTAGTAACTTACTGCAGATCTATAGGCATAATTATTAAGAGTAAACATATGTACACATCATTGTCTTTATGTCAATAAGAGCATCATGTTGGCATATATATTTTTAGTGTGTACAGTTTATAAAGCTTAATGCCAAATCAGCTACAGTATATCAAACACAGAATATATTAAGACTAAAGCATCTTCAATCAGCACCACAAACAAACTCATCGTCTTGTAGAGAGATTATAATGAGCCTCTGAAGACGAACAATTTCACAGTGTTTTCACAATTAATTGCAGTGTAATGAAGATCCTTCGTTTCTGAGGGAATTGAGCAGTTTGAATCCGCATCTGAGTTTGGCAGAGTCTCTCCACAGATACGACTATGAGTGGCAGTGAATTTCAACGCATCCTGTTGAAAACCA